GAGGAAAATGTCAGAATTTTAAGGCCAAGAAAAAAAGAAAATGCCAGATCTGCAGAAACTGTCATGTCAAATAAAAAATATAATATAAAATACAGTTTAGCCAAGAAATTCTGTACAGTGGTAAAATGGGAAATTGGCAAGCTTGGGAACAGAGATTTGAGTTAAAAACCATGTCCAGTATAATGTGATGTGCATTTTTCGAAGAAGAAAAATTAAGATTAAGATGCAAAATGTTAAGTGTGCTAGTTGTGTATTATTGATTATCTAAAAACAACAAATGCAACATTTACAGTGTTGCAAACTGGTGACTTTTTCTTTTGTCACATAACAAGACACAAAATCCCTTCACTACCTGGAGTGACATATCCAGGTGCAGCTGCACTGACGAAGGCTCCTCTTGCTAGGGCCGCTCTTCCTCTTCCTCTGGCAACCTGAGCTGCTACTGCTGAGGCTGCTGCTGCTGCTGCCAGGGCTCCTTTGGTCTGAACACAGGCAGAGTACACATATTAACAATCACAATGCCAAGATCAGAAGCTGGCCATAAAGCTAGATAGATGTGTGTTTGAACCGGATGAATGCAGTGGCACTGTAAGAACATATCAAATCAAACATGCATGTAACACTGACAATATTCTAATGCATTTGGGTCTCATTTTTTAGAGATCTATATGGGAAATAGCGTTATTGACAACATAAGCGGAAGAGGGGTGATCTCATAAAAGTACTGATCTGTTAAACTTGTTAAATCAGTCTAAACAAAGTGTTATTGATTACTGATAGAGGAACACATTGGGCAAACTCTCCAACTGCTTTTTGATCAGAAATAGAGTATAACAGTAATGCAAAATAGGACAGAAAGACTGGTTTAATAGTTTATTGTTATTTCAGTGTAAATGCACATACTACAGAGTTAATCAGGGACTTCTGTGTCAGGGTTGTGCTGCATAAGTGTGTCTCTCCTTACTTGAGGCAATAACTTCTTCTTCTTGTTTGCAGCTGCGTTGGGACCAGAGAAGAGTTTTTCCAGAGCTGCTAGGGCAGCGCTGGCCTTTGCTACCTTTTTGTTGGGGCCTGCCCCACGAAATTTCTGCCCGTCGACCTCCACCTAACATGCACACAAATATTCACAGAAATGTGTTTTATGCTTAAGGAAAAACAAAAACATACTACATTTTGGACCTGTAGTGATTTATTAACAATTAATTCTCTCTTATTTTATTGATGTAGGTCTTTCTATGGGTATTCACACTTTTTATAGTACAAATCTGTTAGAGCTAAAAATCGCACAATGTGGGCCAAAGGCAACGTTTTTTGAAGTCATCAGTGAGTCAGTCAGAGAGTCTTGCTGAACAGGACGGCTTGTTTAAGGATGCCCTGCTGTCAAGCAGGCCTGCTAATCAATCAGCAGAGCGATGGAGCAACCAGGCATGTCGGAAAACAAACCACCCCACTGACTCTACCGGGTGATGAGCCTGTTTCTGGTTGTGTACAATACTGCGCACAAGGCTTGAGACCTCATTTCTTTATACATGTATTTTGATAGGAAATAAGTGCACTGATTTATTGAAACGTGCAAACACAAATAGAAATATAATATATATGGTAAAAACTGAATTTTTACAATTCTAACAAGATGAAAGCCAGTATTTGGTATGACCACATTTTTTTTAACACAGCCTGACCTGGGACACCGGCATTCCTTACTGGGTTGAGCAGACAACCCATATGCCATAAGGCTAGTGCATATACATAGATACAACTATATATGGATTTATAAAACTGGACTCACTGAAAATGACTGAAAAAGCAGGCAATGTTCAAAGGCAACTTCTTTTTTTTAAACTTTTGCTTTTGACAAGATCCGTAACAAAAACATTTTTCTCTCACCTCCATAACAAAGCGTTTATCGTGGCTGCCTCCACTCTCAGAGATGAGCTCATATTTGAGGCCTCTTCTCTTCTCGTTTAGCTCCATGACAGGATTCTTTCCACTCGCTGTCAGTATGGGACCCTGAGTTCGCACCTGGAGAGTGAAAAGGTATTAAAGTAACTTAATTTAAAAGTGGGTTCATTTATTTATAAAATAACAAATATGACAGTTAACATGGGAGATGACACATGGTATGAAAATGTCAGTGATTTAGGTGCGTTTCATGTTAAACCACACTGACTTCCTATTATGCTTCAGTAGCTCAAATCAAATCAAATTTTACCAGATTAAAAAAAAGCATTTGAACTAAGCGTGTGCTTTCATTTGTTGACACACACTTCATTCCCTACCTCAAGTGTGTTGGAACTGTCCGAGGAGTGTGTTGGGTTATTGCTAGTGTGCGAGGAGGTCTCGCTCTTCCCCTCACTGTCCGACTTCTCGTCTGAACTCATGGGGTCCAGGTCTGAGTCAAATCCAGTCGGGTAGCCCATTGCCTGGAGAACCTTGAGATCGAAGGCAAGGAAGTAAAAATAAAGGTAGGAAAGGAAGGAAAAAGGCAAGCAAAGACACCTAAAAGAGCTAATATGCATTAAAGCAACAAAATTAAAAATAAAACCTTTAAAGTGACTAATCAAACAATCTTACATTGCTTTTGCAATATGAACATGATTTCTGATGAACTCACTTATGTTCCTTTACGTCAGATCACTTCATTCTGAGAAGACTGCATTAGTGTAATCAGGCAAAAAAGATTGAATTAAAGAAGCATGCTGAGAATCTATTTCAACTTTCTTCTTGAGGCAGGAATACTGCAGTATTAATGGCTCAGTTGTACAATGGTTGGCTGATTTGAGTATCATATCACTTTAATGTAAGTTCTTTACAAGACAGCAGCACACAGACAGGGAGAGGAGAAGGGAGGGAAGGACGTTGATTGTGTCACAGCTGCTCAACCAGCCCCTATAGTAAGAGTATATGTGAGAGAGCGAGAGCAGGAGGTAAAGAAACTGAAGGCGAAAAAGAGAGATCAAAAGGTGAACACATGAGAGAAAGGAAGTGAGCAAGAAGGAGAACAGAAAAGAAGGAGAGGTGGGGAGAAATAGCCTTTTATGGGAATGGAGCGGACAGCGGATTATCCCAGCTCGGTGCTCTGGAGAGCCTGTTTGTTCACAACCACTTTGGGATTACATGGATTTGCCCACCTCCATCTTTCCTCGCACACACAAACACATCAGCAGGTATATGTAGGCAAAAACATATTTGTAGCCATACAGGTTTGGCGTCAGCTGGAACTTATGAAATTTTTCAGGGAGCCAACTGAAATTACCTCCTTGAGGCCTCAGGCTACTGCCAACCTGCCAAGTTGGAGTTTAAATCCGTGCTCGTCCAGACTCATATGACATGTGGCCTGAAGACTTGAATAGGTGGTCCCCAAAAATTAGTGTCACTATTTCAGCATTTGATCAAATGTAAAATGTGTTCACAATCTAAATCTTCTGCTCCTCAGTTATGGAACTGAATAATGGCAAAGGTGTTGTTGAGTGGCAATTTTGAGGTCACAGTGACCTTTAGCCAGTTCATCCTTGAGTCCAAGTGAATGCTTATGTCAGACATTAGGTCACAGCAACCGCGAGAGGCATTAGAAATTATTAAGACTATTTTTTACTGTTCTCTATATGTTATTTTATCCATCCATTTTCTTCCTAGTGGTGATGCTGGAGCCTATTCCAGCTGGCATGTGGTGGGAGGAGATATGCACCTTAGACACAATGCCAGTCTGCCACAGGGTTAACATATAGAGATATAGACATCCCCCGCGCTCACATTCACACCTGTGGCCATGCAACTGCTAAAGAGAAAGACAGCAGCCAGCAAGTTGAACTCAGACCCTTCTTGCTGTGAGGCTACATTTCTAACCAACCATGTTTAAAAAATATATAGACACAAATGTAATCAAACACAGAAATCAAGCTTACCTTGACTGCAACGTGAAGCTTTGCAGTCTTCTTAGAGGATCCAGAGGCTTCGTAAACTGTTCCATCTAGGTCCACAGACATGGTGAAGACTGGAGCATGAACCGGCCCTGACTGGGACAGCAGGCGGTACTGCAGCCCTGGCCGGATCTGGTTCAGCCGCATCAGGGCATTCATTGGTTGGTTGGAGTCTATGGCTTTACTGTCCAGGACTAAGGCCAAAAACAGGTAAGAGAGAGTAATAGTAAGACATAAAGCAAACCAGGGTACATTTAATAACTGTAATGCAAAAGTTATAAAAGCTGAAATTGGACAGAGTAGAGAAAAATCAGGGTAATTTGTAATGTTTTTCAGCATTCTGCCAAGTTGTTTTTATGAGGAATAAAGGTGCCTTTAATCACTTTCCTCCTTTTTGCCAATATATAGAAATGCCTCTTTGCCTCGATTAGCTGTGGTTCATCTTCTCCTTGTACAAAGAAAATGCTAGGAATGGTTGGGTGGCCTACTAAAATGTCAACAATCAATAGCATCGATGTGTCTCAGAGGAATGAAAAAGAGAGGAAGGGAGCAACAAAAGAGAGACAAGGTGAAGATAAGTGAGGCTTCTCAGTAGATAAAATCATGAAAATCGAATGATGAAAGAACATACTTTGAATCATACGCACTGTTAGGCTTTAAAATATAACAAGCAGACTACAATATTAGATTTGTCTTCCTCCTTGTACCTTTTCTTAGATTCCTCTTCATCTTCTTGATGAGGTCCTTGTCATCCATTGCTCCATCATCATATGGCCTCTTCAAACCTAACCCTAAAATCAAGAGACACAGATAAACACAGAGAGAATTACTAATTAATCACTAACTACAAGAGATGTCTATGTCAACTCACACATGTGGCACTTGTGTATGACAAAAACACACAAAGGCAATGTCACAGAGAACAAACGATGCAAGAGAACAAGCACAGGACGGATGAACACACAGAGAAGATAAACAGAGCCGACAGGCAGACCAGCAAACAGTCAAACAATGAGGAAGACATACCAGATCGTGCCCTACGTGCACCTTAATCCATAAATGCTTTTTCCATGTCAGCATCAAAATTTCAAAAGGCCCGATTCGATTTTCCACGAAAGTCACTTTGGCTATGTGCCAGCTCAAGATCTTATGAGATTTCTGTGAGTCTCTCTTTTTCCTGCAGAAAGCATGCACAACCTAAAGCAATTTCACTAAAGCTAAAATCCTTAGTGTGGCACTGGAGACAGGGTCAGTAAAAAAACTGAGAAAAAAATGTATATAACATACCTACATCACTGAAGCTAGTTTTATTATGATTAATATGTCAGCCTTTCTGATGATGCTGGCAGTGCTACAGAAGTGCATAGAAAACACATAATACACCCAGAAAGGTCATGACAAGTGTGAGCAGACAGCCAAGGCCTTGTCTGATCTAGAACTGGATGGGCAGGCAGAGCAGCAATAGGGAATAAAAAAAGATACACACCTTCTTTATCAGACCACGGATATTTCTGCGATGGTTTATTTGAGGGAAGAGGCTCCATCTCTAACACCTTGTAGATCTGTCCGAACGCCATGAGCCTGAGAGCATGCTGTTGAACACGAATCACACACCATACACAAAAAGAAAGATGATGAAGGCTGAGAAACGCATTTGAACTGAGACAGATTGGATGTCAACAGAGGCACAGCGTGCAGTATTCAAGATGTTTACTAGCATTATAAAACATTATTAAATTATTTTAAAAACAGTATAAAACATTAAAAAGGATGCAACTGGTGGTCTAAATAAAGAGAGTCAAAATATCCTACAATATTTAACTTATGTACAGCCTAGAGTCGATAAACACATGTAAGAAGCTCCTTCACTCTTTACACTGTGATAACTCACAGCACGTCTGTGCTGTTTGCTATATCCTGAATATCTGAGACAGAAGAACTGTTCCGATGAGGAGTCACATATTCTGCTGATGCAACAATCTTAACCTCGAGAAAATTAACTTAAACAACAATGGACATTTTGTACTTAAGTGAATCTGCAATACATAGGAGTATAAAGCTGGATAATGCATGGGCAAACTTCTAAATATACAATTTAAAAAAAACCTCAAAACACTTTCTTATCTTGCACCACACAGCACCAAAACTGTACCCAAATTCAGCCATAATGACTCATTTGTCTTTATGTTAACTTATCATGCTCAGTGTCTTACATGCATCCCCATTCTACACAAACAGATAACCAAATGGCACATAGAGACTCTGCTAATATAAATCTATTAGGGGGGTAGAGTGTCTCAGATATTAATGACACCTGGTGCAGCTCATTGACAGAACAGCTCTCTCTCTCCTATCTGCTCTTGTATCTGCTCCAATGCAATTATCCCCATTGACATTCCAGCCTCGTCCAGGCTGCCTTCAAAAGGAAATGGACGGCAAGATTCACTAAGCCACGAGGCTCAGAGGCTGCCCTGCTCGCTCGAGTGTGTGTGTCAAAGGACATGACGGCACACGCACACATACACACACACAAATACCACACGCGCATAAATACTGTCCTCGAGGTGTCAGAGATGGATTTATGGCTTGCAATGGCAATAGCTTCCCACACCAATCATTAAAATGCGGCACCACACAGCTCTTTCTGGTGACTGAATGTAAGTGTGTGTGTGTGTGTGCTCGCAGAATGAGTGGTTGGGGCAGCAATGAGGTCTTCCTGTCTTGCTAATGGGCATATTGCTGAGTGATTCCCACACACTGCCAGCTCAGGGCAAGAAGCACTGGGTGATAGCAATGCCATAGTTAAACTACATTGTACGTGTGTACCTGTGCACTGAAGGTAATGTCCTCAGCCTGCTGGTCAGTCATGCTGGCGAGTGTGTTTGTTGGCTCTTTCTCACACGGGTCGTGTAAACCTGGGCCTCCTGGGGGAAGTGACAGTAGATGACACACAGACATGCTAAGTCAGTCATTGTCACTTTCTGTGCCGACGGTGCAGCTCAGCAGCATTTAATTGGGCATGACTTTAAAAGAGACAGTGAAAATCTTGAGAATTAAAATGAATGGAGAAAAACATCTTGTAGGTAAATAAACATTCACCTTCTAGTGTGGCATACATTTCCCTTTGAATTAACATAGGTTATTTTTTATTTGCAGTTTGTTAAACTTCCACTCTTCCACTTTTAAATAGCTCCTTTCAGTCCTTCAAAGTAGGCACTTGAAAAGCACCAGTCCGAGAGGAGAACACTGGTTTTCGATCCAAAGTAAATTAGCTTTATTCAAAGACAATTTTACCCAGTGATGCAGAACACTTTGCAAAGAAGCCATTAAGCTAGCTCTAATTAAGATGCTTCCATAATGATGACCTGCTTCAGACAGCTGTGCTCTGCTGGGTCATTTATAATGTCTCGACCTCTCTTAAAAACAGCTCAAAAATGTGTCAAGCAGAGCTGTGATATATCTCCTCATCTACCCACATTAAGGACTTTATTTAGCTCTCCTCGTAAGAAATGCCAGAAAACTGTATGAAAATACATCCTCATCTACTCAAATCTTTGCAGTCACTAAGGCCACGTTCACACTGCAGGACTTAATGTTCAATTCCAATTTTTTAATCAAATCCGATTTTTGTGACAGCAAACGTGCTCTAGTGTGAACCCTCAAAGCGGCCCGCATGCGCAAAAGAAGACTTCACACACAACGCGCTCTGTTTAGACCCAGACCAAACAGTATTGTTTGACTGATGGCCTTAATATAAAGACTTGTTTCGGACTTTACGTTTCCCAATTTTGCCTTAAGTTATAAAGTTATTTTGTTATTTACATATGGCCTAATAATTATCCTTATTGCTGTTTTAGAGAGGAGCGGTGCTTCAAAGGATAGTTGCAGATTTCTGTCAGAATCTGCAGATTATACAGTACAAATAAAATGTTCACGTTTCTCCAACGTTGTCTTCCCAACAGTTTCTCTAACATCTACAGTGGATGGTCAGGAAGCGTTCACGATGTCTTCTCGGGCGCTTCTCCGGCACTGGTAATTGGCGTCTGTCTTGTGTCAGTGACGTAAAAGATGGATTTAATGCGACTTGACCGTTCAAACAGCAGTCGCTTTCTAAAACATCAGATATGTATCGGATTCAGTACCACATACGAAAGTGACCCAGATCGGATTTGAAAATATCGGACTTGTGCTGTTCACACTGTCATACCATGATCGGATATGGGTCACATGGGGTCAAAAAAGTCGGATTTGATGGGCTTTCGCCTGCAGTGTGAATGTAGCCAAATTCCTTCATGAATACACCCCACCAAGTACCTGGGAGCAGTATGCCTGAGGCCAGACACTCCATGACTCTGCGCAGCGCTTCTCCTGCCCCAAGGGGTCTGTTGCAGGTGGCAATGGCTTTCTCACAGATAAGCTCCAAGGGCTGTGAAAAAAGTTGACATAAAAACAGAGTTCAAACTGAGCATGGGGAAGAAGGTTGATTTAGGTGATTGTGAATGTGGCATGGTTGGTGATGCTAGACAGACTGGTCTAAGTATTTCAGAAACTGATGATCTACTGGGGTTTCTCCACACAACCATCTGTAAACTTTAAAGAAATGGGCTTGGCTGGGCTTGTTGATGTCAGAGGAGAATGGTCGGACTGCTTTAAGCTGATAGAAAGGGAATGCAAAATAACCAATTTTTACAACTGAGATATGCACAAAAGTGTCTCTGAATGCACAACACTCTGAATTTTGGAGCAGATGGGCTCCAGCCGCAGGAACTTGATGCCACCCTTGTTAGGTAAGAACAGAAAATTGAGGCTATAGTTTGTATGGGATCTCCAAAAATTAGACCACAGAATATAAGAAAAAAGTGTGGCCGACAAATCTGCTGCTATTGTGTGATGTATTATGAAGGAGCATGAAGGTCACATTAAGAAACAAAAATATTATTGTTAATGTGGAGAATAAAGTCAAAATTTCCAGATTAAACTCAACATATTGTTTTTAGAAAAAAGTCAAAATGTAGAGATTTAAGTGAAACAACTACTAGGGCTGATATAAGCTTTACAAAATGCCTCGCGTAGATGAGTTTGTGAAACAACTTTCTCCCCCAGTTTTTCCTTCTGACTAGATGTAGCTTTCTGCACCATCTTTTCAACATTTATCACCACATTGTGCTTATGTGCTAAAAGAGAAACAGTTTTCATGTCACTAAGACTGAGTGTGAAGTGCAATGTCAATAGCGTATCTACAAAAGGCATATTGCAGAGGGTGTAGCAGCTGTGGCAGTTCTTTGACTTGAAACAACAGCTTTAATCGCTGCATTTTGACTTTTTTCTCAAAATATTATTTCAACTTTATTCTCAAAATGAACACTAACATTTTTTTCTTTATGTGACCCCAATACTCTGTCATACAGTATGGACTGATATCTCTGAGAAATGTTTCCAGCACCTTGCCATGAATACTTAAATCAGTTCTGAATGGAAAAAGGGGGTCCAACCTGGCATTAGCAAGGTGTACGTATTAAAGTGTCCAGTGAGTGTATTTAAACCATCTACACAAGTAGCTCAATTTGTAACCTGTTTCATTTACATACATTGCCTAGTTTTTATCATAAAACACATGATTTACAGATGATAAGTAGTTGAACACAGGAGCAACAAGGCGAACACAACACTCACCCATCCCTTCAGAGGTTCCCAGATGGGATGTCTATTGCACATATCCCTTAGTATCCTGAGAACGATAACGCAGGACTTGAGTCCGTTCACTCGAGCCTGAGATGGTGGAAGGAAAAGACAGAGGGAGGCAAAGAGGAAGATTAAAGGAGAGGAGAAAAGGGAACAAACTGAGTATAGGAGCAGTGGTATTTGTTCAAACACATACAGGCTACCGCCTGCAGAAAATCACAAAGCCACAGTCAAAAGGAAGCGACTGGATCTTTCTAAAACTCTGTGTCGCGAAAGATATTCAATTAGTTTACTGAACATATATGTTTATTATTATTTCTTCTTATTATTATTTTTTTCTTTGTGTTTTTTGTTTGTCTCTAGAATATACACAGGCTACCACTATTTTCTTTTGTTTCCTCTTCTTTCTTTTTGCCAATAAGGTAAATGAGTCGGGAGATAGATGGGAAGGGGTATGGAAGGAGAATTGAAGGGAAGCACTGACATGTTGTACGGAGCAGGCAGGTTCACATAATTGCCAAAAAGAAAAACAAGTATCAACCATTGCTTTTGTAGCCCTACGATACTTTTTTACAAAAAACTTTTAATCTTACCCTTTTCCAGTTCTACACTAAACTTTTGGAGCAGGTATGTATAAAGTGGCTTTTTTTGCCATGATGTTGCAAAACAACATCCTGCAAACTGGAAATGCAAATTAGAGGACAAAAGAAAACATTAGTGCATTTGCATTTGTTCTAACATACACATTCAATTTTACTATTTTAGTAAAATCAGTACATTTACACTCCCTGGGTGTGCATAACAGGCAGTATAGTTCTATCTGACTATTCTCTCTGGGTGAGTCGTCAGGCTACAATAAGCATCGGGCACGAAGACAGGAAGTGAGTGGGTGCCGACCTGGAACCACTTGGCGTGTCGCAGCGCTGCCAGGGCCAACAGACATCTGTGTCTATCCAGCACCTCCCCCTCCTCCTCCTCCTCAGCCTCCACTCTCTGCGCAGCAGCACCCAACACTGCCACAAAACAATAACAACCCAATATAGAGAACGTAAAACACACACACGTCAGCTTTGAGTGTGTGTGTTTGAGTGTTGCGCGCGTGAATGTACGCAGACACACCCGAAGTCGTGTGTGTGAGCATACATACACACACACATGCATGGATATTTTTGGTACATACAAGGTGCTTTTCATGCCATAAAGTTGCTCTCTCCTTGTACAAAGTGCTCACTCGCTGCACGGATTACAGATCCGCAATGGATGCGCATCAAGGGCTCCTCACTCTTTAAATGGAGTGCCATTTTCAACACTAGGATGAGTCAAATGTGTGTTGACTGCACCACATATTATCATAAATTTACTGTCCATCCTAGAAAGAGATGTGTTGAAAATTGCACAAGCTACTGAATAGCGGTTTAGTATTTTAAATCCACTCAGTGGCTAAAAAAAACATCAGAGCAACCAATGTTACAAAGGAAGAGACAACTTTGTGGGATGGAGAGCCCCCCCCCCCCACAGACATACACAAAACAAATACCTAAGGAGTGTTTGATTTACTGTGTGTGAGCACAGTTGGAGCATATCGAGTCATTTTTATTGTGCCCAGCAATGTAAATCAATCTCTCCTTTATGTATTTGACAAGGATTTTATTTATTTTGATCCAGTCTGCACCAGGCAGGAGTCAAAATAGCAGTTTTGTTTGTCTTCTGCATTACTTAAGGTGCACTTGATTTTCACAGGCTCATAGAGAAAATGATGGTGCAGAGAAAGCAATTCAACAACCTGTCTGGGCAAACACAGAATCAAGCGCTCCTAAAGTAGAACTGAAAAGGAAAAGAAAAAAAAATCTAAGATAGTTTGACCCAGTCTGAGACAAACACAACACAAGAGGGATCAAGGCAGGGTTTAGTCAGAGCATCATGGTTGGTAAAAGTAGAGCATTATACTTTTATATGTAAGCATTTGATTCATGCTGCCCTACACACAGGGCTGGCTGGGTTAGTGCAGCTTCAACTGGCCTGCTACTCGAGAAACAGCACAAAGTCAGTGATATGCACGGCAAGCTGAATCAAACGCAGCTGTGTATGAATGAATGCCGTTACATGGGGTTTCCAAAGAAGGTTTTATTGTGCGCGGGACCAACTGGAGATAAAATAAAACACATTAAAGAGCCCTTTGGGGCTCTACGAAAACACAACTAGGTAAATATTTTCCTCATCAGTCTCCCATAAAAAGAAAATCCTAGCCTCGAGAGGCATTAATTTTAAATGTCAAATGCGTCCGATGCGTGCCGGAGTGAAAGCATTTATCTTGCGTTATAAAATGCAGTGTAGCGTTTCCTGACAATGGCATGCCTTAGTGTGCAATCTATGTTTCAGTGTGACGTGTCCTGGTAAATCCTAAGGTCTGTCAGACTGGGCCCAGCTGTGTGTTGGACAGCTCAGCTACTAGCAGATCATTAGTCTTTCTCCTCTCGCTTGTCCTCCCACTGTTCTCTCAATCAGCGCTCTTCTTTTATCATTATCTCTCTCTGGATTACCCTTTATAACTGAGTACAGAGGGAGATTTTTTTTAAAAAAAGGAGTGAACCCCCCCACCTTTACCACACAAAGCAAGTGAGCTGCATCAGTGAGTAAAACACACACATGCATGCAAAACATGTGCATATCTTCAATAAAATATTTATCTGTAGCATAAAAATGTAACTTGTCAAATGTATAAAATTAACCTTTCTAACATTAACCCCAATTCCCAAATGGGATTAAAGTGACTGGAAAATACTGTATAAATGATCACCTGTTATCAGCTGAGAAGACATAATTCACCGTCTAACATTTCAGCTAGAGCTTATGGAAACAATCTGCATTCGTGGAAACATGGAAAGTTTTTGTTAACAATTTTTTTTAGGGATAATTAATCTCCCTAATATTTTGCTAATCATTTCCTGACAAGCCTAAACAGAGCTAAAACAGGCACTGCCACTGGTCTTAAACCACTGGTGTTTATGCCGGCTGTTGCATGTGTTAATGTGAAAAGTATTTGACCCTGCACTTTAAAATATGATCGCCATAAACCTGTAGAGTTAGATATCCAGTGTGACAGGTATTTTTACAAAATATGACTGTGTGTGTGTGGCCTCCTCCTCCTCCTTGCAGCTGAGTGAACATGTGTGCAAACCGATGTGTTCCCCTTGGTGAGAAAATACGAGGGGTCCTCTCTATCATGCCGAGGCATCTGGAATGATGTACGGCAAACCTTCGTGCTATCGCTCATCTCTCTCTGAGACCTGAGTGTCTAGTTGGATGAGAGCCACAGGATAGATGGGCAGCTTGCTACTGGCTGCTTATTGATTTCACTGGCCTGCTGGCCTTGGTTCCCAATCTTACATCCCACAACCAATTATAACCAGTAACTGCTACACATGAAAACAGGGGAATGGGGATGGGTTGTTAGCAGACTGAACACCAGAGCTTTTCAGCTCGATTTTCCTTAATTACTTTGTAAAATGTCATAAAGTAACTAGAGTAACTGAAACATTTAGGAGCAGTGTATTTCTGTAATAATTGGTTTGGATAAGGGGACTAATTCAGGCATTAATGCAACAAGCCATGAAAAACTGCTGCTGCTACAGTGGCAGATTCAAGGGACAAAACATCACTGGCCAAACTTTATTCTGCTTTATTCTTGGAATTTGGCTTTCCAATTCAAATTAACCAGACAGACTGAAGAACAGTCAAGGTGTGGCCGGCACGAGTGGGTCTGTAGCTCAGGAGGTAGCACAGGTCATCTACTAAACGGTGGGTGGTGGTTCGATTCCTGGTTGCCAAAAAAAAAAGTACTATTGTGAATGGGGCATAGAGAAGCTCTCTACTTGAAATTCACTAAATTTAATTTATATAGCACCAAACCACAACAGCAGTTGCCTCAAGGTGCTTCTTACCGTAAAGTAAAGATCCTAAAATAATACAGAGAAAAAAAACCAAAAATCAAACGACCCCATTTAACCAAGTACTTAGCGAGGGTGGAAAGGAAAATTATATGCAATTTAAAAACATATTTACTTGCTGGTGTATATAATGTAGAATAATGTTAATAAAATTCCATGCCCTCACACACAAACAATGATTTGGTCAGCTGATGAGTTGCCAGATTTGTGTGGCTCCTTGCTACCCTAAATCTCTACAACCTTAATGACAAACGATCCAGGTTAAAATAAATTCTCCTTTAAGAATTATTGACAAACTGTGTCTCCCTTTTCCAAAAGGTTTAACAAACAAACGCTATTCTATCGAATCGACTAATGGCTATTGTAATACACTTAATACTTGTTCCAGCCAAGATGTCGCTGCACTTGGTCCAAAGTTCAGCTGCTTAATCTCTTATCACCTCGATTTTGTTATACAGGTTTTCTGTGAAAATCAGGAGTGACATTAAAAACTGTTAATCCACTCACTACTTCTTAAGAACAATGCTGTTTTGATCTCCTACCTATTAGCAGCCTGTTGGGCCCTGATAGGTTCACAGCTCCTGGCTTTGGCCCACTTAAAGTTTGAGATTTGTGGTGAATGAGCATTTTTCTTGGCTCCTAGATTAGGGACTAGCCATCCTCAGGGGTTTAGATCATTATTAATGCTTCCTTGTTTTGGCATTTATATATTTTTGTCTGCAGCATCTTGTTTGTGGAGATTTTTTTTGTCATCTTTGATGACTCTAAGCACTGTGTAATACTAGTTTTCTATCATATGAAGAAAGTTCTACTTACACACTTGAAAGCAACTAACCTGGATCACCGTGTAGCAGGCTGTCAAATCAGTAAAATAATATCGACATTTTTAAAACATTCATCTTGAGTATTTGTTTTTCTGAAATATGATTGGCTACTCTACCCACCTCTGCCTGTACCTGTCTTGTCCTGTGTCAGCATCAGTTCATGAGGTCAAACCTCTTGTCTGACAAAAAATGTGGAGTTTTCTAATAACATATACATAGTTAACACAAAGACCAATTGATTGTGCATGTGCTGAGGTGTGGCCAAACAGAGAACAACTTTTCTATTCCTATGTTCCTACCTCGTCCATTTTTGCTTTCTGGGTCTTCCTCTTCTTCCTCCACTTCCCCCTCCACCACCTCTTCTCCTTCTTCCCCATTCTCCAGCTCCTGCTCTTCCTCCTCCAATTCCTCCTCCTCCTCTTCTTCCTCGTCATCTTCCCTCATGGCCGGTGAGGTGAGGGTAATCTTCAAAGTGAGTTTAGGCTCTGTTGTCGTTTTTACCAAGATGGCTGCCTCAGGCAACGAGCTTGTGACCTCATATTTCTCTCCTGTCAGCTTCTGTTGTGTGTCAACAGACATAGATTTAATAAGGGGAAGTTTTCATGTGAAAATAAATGAGTGATGGTAGTTAGTCTTGTGGACACCATAAAAACACCCAGGGATACTTCTGACCACAGAACTGATTGTGTAAGAAGACAGAAAGATCGCATGGACTCTTCAAAAGATATTTACTTTTTGTTTTTTCAAATCACTGGCAGGTTAGAATATAGACTCCCAATTTCTGCATCTAATTATCAAATAGCCTTTATATAAAACTCTGGAAGAGCTGTAAAATCTACTGAAGACACAGATATCAAGTAATATCTGATGAAATCTGGCAAATCTTCTGTATAAGTTTTTCAGACACTGTTTATGTATTTTTCTCAACACCCATTTGTTTCCTTGTGCGCACTGTGCATCATTCAACCTTTGTTCTGAAGAAATTAATTACAGTTGACCTCGCTGGTCAGCACTACGACATGATGACTTATGCTAATATGTTCATGTCAGCATACGCAGCAGCCACAACCGTTACTTAACACACCTGTACTGTATAGAACAAACTTAAACAAATTAACACGCTTAATATCACCTACAAGACATGCAAAGATCAGTACACACACAGAGGCCCAGATGAAGCATATACAGTCATGAGTGATTAAAAATATTGAATAAAGGGATGTCAAATAAAGCTTATGTGTAAGTTAAATAAGGAAGATCTGTATTCGCTTGTTTGCCTGCGTTCCTGAGTGTTCGGGCTGCTAGTCTGTTCTTTACAACAAGTCTGAACTCTCACGCTGTCAAACACAATTCTGACATCATTAATTGAGTCCAATCATTTTCTTGCCTGCCTTCTGTTATGTGCACTTTAAGTCTCAGTGTACTGTAACGGTTGGTAATGGTTGAAATTACAGTGAATTCAAGTCTTTGTAATAGCCCAAAACAGACCTTACCCTCTTCAGCTAAATTTAAGCTTGAGTTGGCCATGAGTAGCTGACAAGATTAAGCCAGATTAAGTCTAGAAAACAACATTAAAGGAAAATAAGCTACCTAGTCTTTATAAGTGACAAAAACAAGTATATCTGGGCTATGTCTACATTCCAGTTGGCCTTTAAATGAGCAGTGAGTCACAGAGGGCCCATCTACATCCCATTTGGCTCTGATGGGAAATTCAAAATCGCTGGTCACTGGGCCGCAACATGAGATTATTTCTCTGTGTGCACACACCCACAGGAAACACACACACACACACACACACACACACACACACACACACACACACACAGGCTCTTTTTCTCCATCTCCACCTCAAAATGTAATTGTGAGCAGAGAGGTTGTGCTCTGGCACTATTTATTTATTGGGTAATTTCTGCACTTGCCAGCCACGTTGGAAAGTGTTTCCCTACATTTGTTGTTATATTGCTAAATCCTTCCCTTCCAGTCAGATCCCCTCACCAGGCTGCAGTGATGTATATCCTACAAATGAAATAATTTAAATGGTGTGTAACCCAGCTGAAACAACACATGGTATAAATCCTAGATTATAAAACAAACAGGGGTCAAAGTCACAGGTTGTAAAAAAGAGATACTTGTCCTTCAGAGAGCTGTATTGTGTGTGTGTTTGTAAGTGTATGCGTGTGTATCTTGTATGTATGAAAGTCAGGACCTCACTTCTTTGCCATGACTTATTAATGAGGAAATGTGACACTGACGTAATGACGAGAGTATTAATCACACATGACTCATACATACTCAAACACCTCTCAACTTCTCACTTGACAATATTGCTGTCACTTGCCTACTTATGCTCACGCTACCACTCATGACACTCTCCTCAACACTCACAAGCACAACACAGTGAGAGCTGGTGAATTCAGGAAGAAAATGTAGAAGCTTATTTAAACGGCTTAATTTCTGACATTGAAGAAGAGTGTGATGTAAAAATAGTGCATTCCTGGATTACATTTGTCAGACTGATGTGATTGTGCGTTTAATGCAAAGATTAAAGGTGAAAGTGAAAAAACAAGAGAAGCATGCATGCCTCGGTGCATTTGTGTGTGTGTCTCTAACCTCAATCTGTGTGGGTAAATTGTGACAGACAGTGTCCAGCAATGTCTGTGTGGGTTTGTCTCTGCACATCAGCACCAGCTCCAGGTCCATGTCGCCTTTGATCAGGAGTCCTTTGGCCACTAGGCCGATCCTCATCACTCCACACAACAAGCCGCCACCGCTGGACTCCCTGTAAACACATAAATAAATAAATAAATATATAAAGTCTTCTCTTGTATGAGATTTTAAGCTATGTGCATATGAACACTTTAATTCATAATTAGTAAATATCAAAGACGGAATCCATGCTTAGTTCTCAGGGAGTTAAATATGATGAAAGAGAACAATAACCTTGTTATAAAATTAACCTACAATTTTGTGCGAGACCTGAAAAACAGAACTGCACTGCAGGCATGAAGTCGACTCAACGGGACATCCAAACCTCTTTTCATCAGCGTAATATCTGAATCTCTAACAAACACAAAAGTGTTTGAAAGATTAAAATACTAAAATTCCAATTCACACAGCAAAATAAGATCAGACAAGGCCATTCAAGATATCAGTAAAAACTACTGAACCATTAATAAAAAGATTCAAGAAGAAGGAGCCCCCAGTGGAGGCTGTTTCATTTCCTGTTGAACAACATATGATCCTTCTACCTCAGAGAAGTGTATTTACCTCATTTCTTCCTTCTGCATAAAAAAGTATTTAGCATGAACAGTCTCTGTGAGAAGTAAACAACACTAATAAGTGCCGACATTTTTTTGTCAGTGACTCAGTACTCTAGGTTGCAAAAGAAGAATAAACAACAAATCTAAAGTTGTTTATGTGACGTAAGAATGAAGAAATTCAGGCTTCTCAACTGTGCCTTTCTTTTTATAAATGCAGCTATTTGCCACAGAACTTCCTCAACATGTGGAGAGATAGAACAATCTTATCTTTTGTAAAGTCCCTGGTGGCTTCAAAGTGATGACATCTCTCTAGGAAGTCATTTCCCCTGTACAAAACCTAAACTAAATCCACAACTTGTACACTTGACACTTAAGTGTTTAAATGAGGAGTGAACTCTCATTTAGGAGGCACCAAATGTGAGAATGCAAATTTCAGAGAATAGAGCAGATAACTGTCCGTAGCAGCATTGGCGTGGATGTCATGTGTCCATGCCTCCTGCATGCTCCACCCAGGCATAGACCCATGTTAACTTTATTTTTTGTAGTGAGACACTTGATTGATTATTATTATGCTGATGTTGTCCAAAGCTCATGTGTGAAAATGTCTTTAGTGAGCTTTAAAGGCATAGGTATATTTACTGAACTGTTGATGTAATACATTACACGTCTTTGGTTATGGTTTGTAGGTTTGACAAAATAATTATTTTGTGTTTGAGTGACAAAATAATCCATTAACTGAAAAAAACATCAACAAAAATTATGAATTAAAGCCCCACTGTGCGTTTCTTCTGCCTACCTGTAGCAATCACTTGAATCCTCAGTTTCTTCGCTGGGCTCATCACCAGGGTCGTCCTCCTCTGTGCTGTCTGCTGGTTGGCTGTCAAACTGGTTGTGGACTTCGCAGCTGCTCTGATCCATCCAATCAGAGACATGTTTGAGGGCACACTCGACAGTGGATACCAGTGTCTGAACTGCTTCCAGCTCTTGAGAGGAGGGGTAGATGGTGGAGTGTTTCGCCATGACGTGGCGGTCATCGTTACTGAAGGAACGAAAGGACCTCTGAAAGGGAGAATGACAAATAACAGAGAGATTAAAACGTACAGGAACCAATAACACACGGGCTTGCATACCTGTAAAACGAACACGCATAAAAACAGCTTCCTTTCCCTGCAGCAAGGATTCTTTAACAACAGACTGAGCTTTAATCCATCAAACAAACACTTTAGACGCCCTGCTAAGGACTCACTTTATTCATAATAACGACAAACAACAAAACCCAAAAAAAGCCTTTCACACAAAATTAAAATGCAACACAGCTATCCCACAAAGTGTGCGTGCAACTGGCTTTTTTGTCTGCCCAAGTTGCTTTTGTGCTCACAGAACATGTTATCTCTTTTATAGGAAAGAAATCAATTCTAACTTCAGTGACAGCTCCTATTTACTGCCACTGACCCTAGCACATATGCACACGCACACATGGCTATCAGAAATTCATCTCACTGAGTCCATCCCACATGTCACTCAGATATTCTGGCCTTGGGAATTCATGTCAGCTCTTCACATGCTCGATTCTACTTGGTAAGAGGTTTAAGGGGGAACACCACAAAGATATCAGGTGCAAGGCTTCAGAAACGGGTAGCACAGAGGGAGGGTAAATGACAGAATATAGAAGGCACCTACCACCGAGGCCAAGAAGGAAGAGAATAGATAACAACAGAGGAGTGCGAAGGGAGCAGTGCAGAATCTTTAACAAGGATAAATGACAGAAATGCTTGTGCGACCAGAGGCTAAATTCAGAGACAAATTGGCGACGTAAAGAGAAGAAGGAGAGGAGCAGGTGGAACGGTGCCTTTGTGATTTGTGTCCTGCAGTTAATACCACCCAGATGGGTCCGCGGTGCTTATGTGGATTCATATGAAAACACTCCTCATCCTTTCACAGAGTTTAGTGGATAGAGGTTTACAAGGCTAACTGTTCAGCGGGGAAAAAACTGCAGTGCTAAAGTATTTAAACATCTGAGTGTTATGCATTAGCTATTCTAATTTTGCTCAGCATAATTGCATTGAAAATGTATTACAATCTATTATCAATGCATACAATTTGCTGCAATACACATAATGTAAAATCTCTGTGGCAGCTGTTTAATTAATAACAGGAATACTCATACAAGAGATAATTAATATCTGTTGTAAGACATTATTTCAGTTCTGTTCTTGAGTGCTTGGATGGTTAGTAGCAACATCACTTCTGTTATAATCTCAATTTCAGCTCTCTTTCACTGTCTGGATTTTTTTGTGACCGTACATGAAAATAGAACACCAACTAGAGTTGTCACTGTGGTTTTCATCTTGCTTATTTTCAACTTTTCTCTTCTACTGCTATGATCATTGGAATTCTTTTCGGTTTGTCTATTTTTACTTCCCTCGCTTTGCTTTCTCCTGTTTTAATTTTTTTTTTTTTTAATTTTAAAAAAGAAGTCAAGATATTGTTTCATGATTGCTTGGATCTTAAGGATGGGGTTCATTTTTAAACAGCCGGGGTTATCATATTGTTCTGGGGAGCCCGAGATGCATACGACACATACAGTTCAAAACGAGGGTGCTGTTAGTAAGCTGTAAAGCTGACCTGCTTATCTCCAAGACCCACATTTTCCTTTATTCACTGCACACACATACCCACATCTACTCAAAGAGAACCGCACACCAGGCATCAGAAACAGCACGCAAACACATGCCCAGAAGTGATGAGCTTTTTCAAGTAGCATTCACAGTATAGCATGAGTGCTACTATCAATCTACTTGAAATCCAAGGACTGCCTTCATGCATACACATACACTCAGTCGTCTTCCTATCACTTGACAGGACATCACAATGATTGATATTCATTTTCTGTGGACCTATGCTAGCCCGAGCCCCAACCAGTACCATCCCAGCCTTAACCTTAAACCAAGGCTTTTGGCACAGCAAGCAACAATTGGAAAACATTTTCTCTTCAAAACAAAAAAAACCCTTGAAAGTTGAAAGTTGCCCACAAATTTTTAATAACATTCCATTTAGTGCAATTTACCTTAACACAGATTTCTGTGTATGGTTGTTACCAACTACAGATGGCTGAATATCAATAATAATTTAATCTAACATGAAAGCCAGTGAATGTATCAAACTGATGTGGGAGCAATATCCTGGCACACAAACAAATTGCCATCAAAAGACTAAAATATGGAACATATTAGGGAAGCTATGGGGATTCATAACTAAAGATTATTTTAAATAAACAAAAACAGAGTGATGTACCATACTGTTCAGAAGTTCTCTCTATGTCCTGCCTGATGTTTGCATTTGGATTTGTGAGCTTTTCCCTCAATTTGAAGGTGTTCTTTATTCACTGTAGTCTGTTGACAAATTACATTGGAAGTATGGTTCTTAAATGGATATCATCCTTTCTGTATACTTCTCTCATACATTTTAAAACTAATATTCAAAAATTTGCTATAATATTTTTTAGAATATATTACTGATATTGTCAAAAATGCCACAAACAGGCAGACGGATATTAAACAAATAATATATACACTCTAAATATAGGAAGCAGCTGCAAGAAGGTATATTACAAGAGTATGTGTGTGGAAGCTTATGCCTGACAGGTGTGCTGACCTGTCACAGAAAGAAGAGTTTAATATTCAGAAATATGATATCATATTCTTTGGAATATCTGTCAAAAAATGTCATAGACTTATATGATGGGTGCTGTAAAAATGATGCAAAATAATGGTAAAAACACTAGTACTTAGGGTGCTGTCTGGCTCACGTGGTTGAGCAGGTGCCACTAAAGAGGCCCGTGTCTGAGTCCACCCCAGACTGCATGCTATGCTCCCTGCTTTTTTGTCTGCTTTCTGATAAAAAGAAGCCTGATAAACCCCACTAATGTTTCAACTTATTTAAAATGTGCTGGTCAACTTCAAAATCAGCATACCTTTTGCTCAAACAATCAAGATTTTTCAGTAGGAAATTGCATGTAAACTTTAAGCAATTTGAAAAGCACTGCTTATATTTATATTTATAAAACATCCCAACTTTGCTAAGGTGCTTTAATACTAAATAGTCCAATTTGTATTTCAACTGCTGACACTCTTTCAATAGAGCGAGTGAACTAAAGCCATTAACAGAATGACAAACCAACACTGCAGCCTTACAGCCTCTGCAGCTCAGTATAACGAATGTCACAAGAACATTTAGCAGGGTTACACACTCCAGTCACAGTGAATTGCTAACAGTCTGGTAAGACAAACTGGTGGAGTAAATTAAGACAGCTTTAAAGAATAGACCACCAATAAAAACCATGATATCATATCTTAATTTGGAGTACCGAGGCTTAAACGGACGGGTTGAATTTTTTAATTCAGTCAGTTTGGTGTGGTTTCAACTGCTGTCTTCTCAGGTTATGGGTATAAGTTATCTAAGTTATCTGTGAGATGGCCCCATTGGTGGGACACAGACAGCCAGGTGACGTAGGAAGACATACCAAAAAAGGTCTGAGAACCAGGCTTAGTTGACACAGTACTATAATGTAGAAACAGCTGTTTAACAAACAGAACACATGAACAATTTTTATCAATTAAAAGTGCATTATTTCTCTGAATTAATTTGTGGCCAAATGAAAAAAAAATTTTAGGTCTTTTTTTTGCAAAAAAATAAACAAAAAGTATTGATTGCCTTTATAAAAAAAATAAAACCAAAACAGTTTTGTTACTTAAGAGAAAATGATTGTACCTGCTGTGAGAGTATCTTTGTGTACCTAAAGTGCAGTGACTACCACATATTGTGTGTCTTCTCAGAACAGTGTTTAACAGACCGACGGTTGCAAACTTTATGAGCTGTTGCTAATGGAAGCTTCTGCAGCCATAAACCAAATTGCGAGGAGAGTGTCTGTATCTATGTATGTGAGCAAGAACTACTCGACCTGCAAGGGTGGGGGGAGTTGTTACCCAGCTGCTCCGATCACCAAGTAAATCAGAGCAGTTAAATGGGGCTCACTGTAAAGAATCAACCCCCTGAGTCAGTGTGTACTGACATGATGTTGTAGACATTTAGTGAGATGATAAGTATGCTGAACGAGTTTAGAGATTTCTCAGTTTCACAGGTGATTTTGGGACATTTTGATCAATATTCTTTTGCATTGGCAGGTTGATGATGTACCATCAGTCTGTTAGGGATTACCGAGATAAACCTGACTGTTATATAAATTAGAGGTCAATTGGATAGTATGCTTCCCAGTCCTGCGAGCATGTGTGCATATCACACATGATAATTATAACACGAGGATCATGATCTCGATATCTGCAACAGCCCCCAGTGTCAAAATCAGTTTGTGTCCAATATCAGCACATTATGTTTTGGTATGCATTTTAATGGCAGTTGGAAAATAAAGTCGGTGTATAAACAAAAGCTTACTGGGTATTAGAACGTATTTGTTATTATTATGAATCTCAGGACTGTTCTCGCAGACGTTCAGGTTTAGAGACGTTCAGGTCTCTCACTGTTATTGTTAATTGGAACGTGTAATGCAGCTGTTACTGAGCTGTGTCTGCTACAAATGATCTCTGGTGACTGTTTTTGTTTAGGGGTCGTTAAAAAAAATATATTCATATATGGATCTCATTTTTCTTAGAAACAAAAATCAGGTAAAAAAAAATCTGGGAATTCTTTGTTTTTACATTCATCAGGTCCCAATCAGCCCAAATATCAAAGAGAAATTAAAAATGGATGCCGTGGAAGAGTCCGGGTCTTAGGAGGTTAATGCTAGACATGATATAGTAAGGGTGTGATGAAAATTCAATCATGTACTATATTAACACAGTTTAAACATAACTTTACTGTTTAACTACAAAGATCATTCCACCAGAGCTCTCACATTATGGATGAGAATTGGGAGCTGGTTCCTGACAGTCTATCCCATCAAAGCATGCCTCCAAGCTTATGATGGCATATTTTTGTGGCACAATCCAAAGGAGGAACATCAAATTCACTGGGTGGCACTGGTATGACTATCCAAGCCTATCAAGCATCCAAAATAACTAACAACATTGTGAAGTAAACTTTTACCTGGCATTCTTTCCTGAAAACTGAATTAGAAACATGCACATTTTTAATAGTTAAATCCTAACTGTCTGCAAGCCACCAGCACACACCATGCTGTGTATGTGTGTACACATATACCTTCATATGCCATTGTTGCATGAAGCTTTTAGACCACACACTTACCAATTACACTCCATTTCAAGCTCTGGTGAAGCTAACCAGCTGGCAGCCTGATGTTACATAACTGCATTACACAGCATTTACAGCTTAATGTTTACTCTATTAGCATGCAGATACACCGATGCAAGACAATTTAGTATATGTCACAGCAAAAATCCAACAAATATTTAATACTCGCATCACACCTTAAATTTGGATGACGTACGCACATGAAACCCACACAATCACATCGAACGCAGTGTGTTTGACACACACACACACACACACACACACATTACTTTCATTACTTCCATCCATCACCACTCATCCAGTCCCTAATGGTCTGCAATAAAACCATTTGAGTTCAAGGTGTTGCAGCCAGGCACGCACCCTGCCAGTAGCAGCTACTTCACACAAGAAGCATCAGATTCTGATGTCTTTCCTCTCCATTACTGCCAGTCTCTTTTAGGCTCCCCCTGACTTGTCCTGTCTCTCTGTAGCCATATGCTATAAATTATGTGACCCAATGCCAAGGACAAGACTTGGTGGAGCAATATTAGTTGCATTGGGCAGGAGATAGGGATACATTTACAGCCAATTTTTTTTCAGTGTACTTCATGTGTGTGTTTGCTCACACGGGTGGGGGGGTCTGATGAGATGTGTGCTTTTCCTTTTAATAAGGCATGTGCCTGACATGATATGTGAGTGCTCAGCACACAGAACTAGGTAACGTGAGGAGAGACTATGAGATAAGGGAGAAAAGAGGACCAAACAAAGAAAATAAAAGTGACACATCTGCAGGAGATGGAGGGAGGTCAGAAATTAAGGATTTTAATATTTTCACCAGGCTACAGAGGAAGCAAAGATTTGTATGTACTGTAGCTGACAACACAGGCCACAGTGAAGCTACTCTAAAACCCAGAAAAACAAATCACCACCTATAAATATCTGGGAAAAAACAAATCAGAAGTGGTGCTTGTGAAAATGTCACATGTCTTTAACACCACATGAAACCACGAAGAGTCGAAGGAGATAAAGAGCTGTCACAATAGAGGCCTTGAGTGAAGGGACAAGAAATACTAAAAAAACAAACATCTCGGTGTCTCCTCTGCAACAACTACAGCCTAGGGGAGATTGCATTAAAAATTCAGCCTGTGATTTATCTGCACTCTGCTTGGCACGCTGGCCTGCCACACTCCCTCTATTCTGTTTTATTGTTCACTCCCTTTTCCTCGCAGTTTTTCAAATTACGCACACATGGTCACAATAGCAGGGTACACATACATCAAAATATATAAACAAAAATCACACTCCATGCTGCAGCAAAATATCAAATAGGTACTTCATAGCAAGCATCTCAAGAGTTCTGATAAACATGGGATGAAATGGGAAATGGAGACTACTATAAAACCTTATGGCGTGTTAAGCATGCCATTAATATTATCAAATGTGCTTCAGCCAGGATGACATTCATCTAATTTATCTAAAGCCTGGTGTAATCAGTCAAGTTTATTTATCCCCCAATCCGAAACTACAGTACCCAACCTACTTTGTGATAAAGGATTGAATTCTTTTTTTAAATCTCTGTCCTTTGCTCCTGGTAATGTGTCAGCATGGCTTATAGGTTTATTGCCTGCCTGTAAAATATAATGACCTGGGTGCTTAAAGCAAACGAACTGACACTGCACTGTTTTGGGGGCACACTTACAAAGTATTAAATAATGGCATATCTGCACATGAAAAATATACCAGAATATTGTGTATAAAAAACAAATAACATGAGATTATGTCACTTTGAAAAACATAAAAATCATACAAACTTTAATTTAGTTTTCATATGCTTATTATTAAATGTAAAAAAACAAATGAACAAACAGTGCTTCACATTTCAGATTCGAAAGTGCACTCCCCAGAAATGAAGGAGTTAGCAAATAAAGTACAAGGACACAACTAGGGCCTCAATCCCACACACCTAGAGACTGGTTGGTGACTGGTAACCACCAGTTGCTAGGGAAAAATGAGTATTTATTGACTGGTTACTAGTGTTAGGGTGCCTGGGTCATCGGCCCAGTGTTTTGCAGTTTTGGTTCTTTGATTTTATTCATTTCATTATATTATGGGTTATAGGTTTATTCTTAGTTTAGGTTTTCTATTTGGGTTTGATAGAGTTTTAGTGTTCTGGTTTTCTGTCTGTGATCCATAGTTGCTGTATCCCCATGTCAAGTCTGCGTGTCTGTGTTATGTTTCCTGTTTTACTTTGAAGGCCCAGGTCTTATGTTAATGTGTCTGGTTTGGCTTCCTTTGTCTCGTTAGGCCTGAGTTGCCCCAGCTGTGTTTCCCTCCTGTTTCCCATTCCCTGATTGCTCCCTCTGTGTATTTAAGCCTTGTGTTTCTCTGTGTCCGTGTCGCGATCATGCTGCGTGTTCTGGCTCCATGCCTGCGTGTTCTGGCTCCATGCCTGCGTTTATTCTTTGTATTTTGAAGTTTGTTACTTTGAGTTCGGCATTAAAGCTGTTGTTTTGAGTTTACGTTGTCTCCGGAGTGTGGACTTTGGGTCCTTTTCCTGCCTGCACACAGCCGTTTCATAACAACTAGTGATTGCTGGAGGTTGCTGGTAATGCCAAACGATAAGGTGATAGCTCCATTCATTTAGAGCTAGAGACAGATCACTGATCCACTGGCAACTATCGGCTGCAAGGAAAAAATGCAAATTTTTTATTGTTAAATCCTAGATGTATGAAAGCCACCACCATGAACCAGGTTTTAGACCACATACTTTTCATTTCATGCTCTTTTCAACTAGCAATAGCCAGCAGCCTCTTTCAACCTGTTGCCAAGGGAATACACAACCAGTCTCTAGCCCTGTATGAGTGGGACCTAAACATTAAGGTAGACAAATACAGAATAAGGAACCACAAACAAAATTTTGGGCAGGTGTATTATTCAAATCCAGAAAACTCAGAGGTTGAAGAAGCTGTTTGTGTACTTTCTGTTTTAATACAGTGGCACCCTTGCCAAGGTCAGTATTTGCTGCATCACCAAAACTCGGGATTAATCACAGTACTGTTTTTGCAACACAAGCATGCACTGGTCGTATTAAGCTTGGTTATTTATGAGCTCAGTCATGTGACCTCTTCTGTAACGTCCAGCCTCAGCACCTTCAGTAACATCTTGTTTTCTTTCCATTTCTATCAATCATTCATGATTATCCTCCCTAGCACCTTTTTCCTTTCTTCCTTCTTTATTTCCCTTCTTCCTGCTCTACAAACCACTCTTCTACTTACTTTGTTTTTGTCCTCATTTTTCCTCCATTCTCCTCTTGTTCTAGTTTTTAATAATTCATCTTATGCTCTACTCCCCTCCCCCCTCAGGGTTACAGCTCCCACTGTCACAGGCCAAGACCATTAATCAATCCCTTCTCTCACTTGTGCTCTACCTCTACCTCTCTCAGGCTCTTAACCTTCCTTTTCTACCCCACTTTTTTGCTTGCAACATCCTTTATACTTTTCACGTCTCATGCCCCTGTCCCTGATTTATGTTTTTATGGTCTTATCTGCTTCCACTTGTCATCCTCTCCCTCCTCTATTCTCTTTGATCTGTTCAGCCAACCTCTCCTCCTCCTAAACAACATGGTAGTTCTTTTTATGGCATCTTTTTCTTTTTTGGCAGATGTGTAACATCTCTCTCACTTGTGCCTTTGCTTATGTAAGGAACGAACCTCAAATCTACGCCTCATTTAGCATGTCAGCAAGTGACTGCGCACTGGTGTAATAATGTAGAACAAGTATTATGAAAATATAAAAAAGAACAAATCTGCAAAGTTACAAGAATGTCATCTAGAAAATGCCAAACAATGATTAAACCTTCATTTTTCTCTCTTTCTGTTAATCACCGCCCACCTTTTCCTTGGCTCTTCTTCATTTTTATAACTTCCTTTTCCTCTTTCATTCCCTTCTCCTCTTTTCCCAACAATAATGATTAAGTTCAAATTTTCTACTACACACTCAAAAACTCCTGTCAGCACAATCTATTATCAAGTATCTCTCTATCTCTGACACACACTCTCTGTTGTCATATCTAGTACAACTTATCTTACATCATACAATCTGAAGAAGTCCTTTCTCTACTGCCGATAATGCACTAGCACAGCCACACACACACAAGCCTCCAGCACTTACAGACACAGAGTCTATTACCATGCCTGCAGGAGGAGTGGTCACTTGTTTCCTTCCTGCTGACGGTCACTTCTGGAGTTGCCGGGCACGTGGTGGGGTGCAGAAGCAAGGTTACCGGTCAGGATGTTGATGCCACGTTGCTTCCGCTCCTCATGTGCTCTTCTTCTTTAACTCTGGCTGCCACTCTACAATAGGGAAGTTCTGATAGATGGAGAAAAAAAAGAAGGAGAAAAGGATGAAAGTTTGATCACAAGAGGATGTGTGACAGATGAATTGCAACACCATTTCTTCTCAGACACAAAATAAAAACAATCAAAAAACAGATTAATTATGACTGCATGCTTACCACACATACTCGCATCTGCAACCTACATCTGTCTAAGCCAGCTGAACTCACTTGCACTCACTCGCTCTCTGTCTCTCACTCACATGTACACAATCCTGTCAGCAGGAGTGCAAGGTCTGTCCTTGTGTAAAAGATCTGACAGATTGGCTGATTGGCGGAGCTAGGCATGTGGACACAAACACAGTGACACGCACGCACAGGCCTTCATTCATTTTTCATCAGCTGGCTGGAGTCCGAGGGTGGGAGATGTATTACAAACATGTGCTTGTTTTCATACGCTGGTTACACGCATCACACGCTCTCCTTGATTCATACATGTATGCAAACCAGTCGACACTTCTATAAGATGCTCTTTATTGTCTTTATCTGTAAAAAGACATGGCTGTATTGTGTCACTAGATTCAGCGTATAAGCGAATACGATGCCAAAACTGTGTGAAAAATCACTTTAGGGCTTCTGCTTTATCCTAAAGTAGTGAGTTTCAGTTCACTGCAGGTTTAAAAACAAAGAGGGAGAAACTTTTTTTTAAAAAAAGAAGCGGTTGACAAAACTCAGAAGTGGACCTAAAAATTTAAAAATCTATTTAAATTTATACAGTGTTTAGGGCTTGGTGAAGCAGGTTGTTATGTTGCAGAGCGTGCCTTCCAAAAACTGTGACAGTAATGATTCTTCTAACCTTATCTCTTCCTGGCTTTTAATACTTTCAGAGAAATAAAAACAGAAGTGACTGTAAAGAAATACTGAAAAGAAAATACGTAGAGAACCTGCAGAAACTCAGAACATACAAGAACAAACAAATGACAAATGATTCAATAGCTGCTCAATAGCTGACCTTTATGGTTTTCTAAAGCTTTTATAATCACTTCATGACTATAAAAAGTAAATCAAAGCGACTACTACCTTAGCTCATCTTATGGCTCAGACTAAATATCCCGTGTTTCTATGAAAACGCAGGCCAGTTTTATCAGCATGGAGCAAGCTGAGGTGAACAGATACACAACGTTCCTATTCACAAAATGAAATGTCAACAGTATCACTAGTGACAGTACACAGGCGCATCTGGCCACACTCAACCCAAAGCAATGACATTTACAGAGCTGTGCATGTCTGAATGTGCTCACACAAACTGGCTGCTCAAAGCCCTACCAGAGTCAGGGGGCTTAAGTTCACGCCGGTGCGGGACAGTCCACCTCTATTCCTTCACTACATTTTTTATATGAATACAAAAACAAAAATGCTGCTAACAAGATCTTTGTTATGACTTACACAACACAGAACAAACAGCACTTGAAAATAAGAAAAATAAAACAGTAAAAAAATAACGGGTTGCAGCTGCAACGCTTGCAGTTTATCTTCAAATAAAATGCTTACATTTTTTCCCCAAAATGTTGACAGATGTTAGAATTAAATACATAATTAAATACACATACACTTTATACACACAATAAAGTAAAACTGACTTCTGATCTATATGGAAAACAATGCACTAGGATACAAACCAAGACAAAATGAAATCAGCTGATATTATCAGTCGATACTGACCTATTACGTATATTTGAGAAATGATATCAAGGTCTTCCTATTGCAATATGAAAGCCTTTTTGTTTTTCATTGAGATAGTGTAATAAACAAAAAATTCTTGTCGTAATTTGGAAAAAGTGTGCAGAGTGTCTTCATTGTTGAAAATACTACTCTGAAGCACATGGAGCAGACAGGTAGACACTAAAGGCACCAAAGGGTTCTAGTTGGGTGAAGTCAGGGGGCAGAGAGCATAAACACACTAGTTATTTTTCAATCCCTCCTGGCTTAGACCTGCTGGGGGATTAAACTGTGGTGATGTTGTAGCCTCTGAGAAAAGTGAGTGAGACCCACGAAGAATGAGAACAAGAGAGGAGAAAAAGAGAAAAGAGTACAAGATGCAGTGAACGGCTTGAGAAAAATGACAGAATTGGAATTGGCCGTGTATAGGAGCATGTAGAACAGAGAGAATGGCTAAAAGGAGGAAAGTGGTAAACTATGGGACAAGTATAAAGTGGTGCAAGATGACAGGGGAATCGGATAAACAACAACTCCAGATATTGAGCTGGCCCCTCAGGCGAACAGACTCCACCAGAAGCAGCAGCTCATTTTCTCTCCAGCTTTCCCTCTCTGAGCCACTGGCCGCTGGCCTAACTATTACCTCTTCAATACACCTGGCAGCAGCTGCAGCAGCAGCAGCGCCTGTGTCTGCACACTTGTGTTTTGCCAGTTAACTTACAGCCAGTGCTAGTCGCTGGAGGGAGCGAGGGAGATGAGTCTTCTTCCAACATGCCTTGGCCACTTAGGACTGTATGCACATGATAATAGAGCAAACAAACACATGAAAATAGAATCACCCTGCCAAGAAGCTTAATAACAAAGTGCCAGTCCCCATTTGATTCTCATTACCAGAACAATTCCGTAATAAACAACCCCATCAATCCTCTCTCTTTTACTTCTCTCTCATGGCAGTTTCCTTCTCATTTTTCTTTAATTAAAATCAAGTGTACAGTGATAGAAACACAGTATGATAAATAATCTAAAATATAATCTAAACCTAATATTAAAGAAGACTGAAAATGCTTGAAAAGGGACTGATACTTTCCTTTAACAACATGTTGTCTGCTGTGTGCACAACCTCCTCTGTCTTCCACTGGGAGCTAGGGTGTCTAAGTAGACCAGGTTTTCACATGAATGGCTATGTGCTGCCTGGACAAACTATATCCGCCTGTTTGTTTATAAAGTCTCCTGTGGTGCTGGACTCACACTGACCCATTATTACATTTTTCCTCTGCATCCACCCTCCATCTCTTTTTGTACACCCCTGCCCCCACTTGCTTCATCTTCCCTCTTATTCACACCATGCTGGTGGGTCATTAACACGTGATTGTGTGTTACTCTCCTGAGAAGGGCGGTGGGGTTGGGGACTGGCAGGGGCTTTACCTCATTAATGCTGGCTAGCAGTGGCTCATGGACATTAGCATGTGCACACACAGACATGGATATATCTGCAAATGGCGCACACACACACATACACAGGCATACTTGCAGAAATGATCTCAGTTTCATTCCATTTACCGAATATATTCATCCCAGAAGTTTATGCATAGGGGAAAACACACCTGTAATATGCCCTTCCTTCTCCAAGAGTTTGTGAGTACATCCATACAGAGAAGAAAGGAATAATGCAGAGGATAAGAAACAATGGACGAGGACAGACAGAAAAATGAAGGCAAAATAGCAGGGAGATTGGGAATTAGCTGAGATGGCTCTGAGTAGCAATTTACACCTTTCTCATCTGATAACCATCGAATGTGATGAACGGTGGAATAGTCAGACTGAAGGGAGGGAGACGATTGACAAAAGACAGAGTGTGCTAATTAGCGTTGGCAGAGCTAATTTTCACAATGTATTCCCTTTCAGAGTTTAGTTTTTGTTTAGTATTTGCAATCAGATGAGAAGACCTTTAGGGCATTCTCTTCTAATATAAAATATGTTAATATTGTGTCCAATTATATCCAACTTTGATATTTGATATTTCTGGCATTTTTAACAATATTGGTCCAACGAGCTCTACGGGAGGACAACGATCAGCTAATCTGTGATAGGGACAGGATCAATGCAATTTTCAAGCTGTTCTCTAGCATCATCTAGCTCTGTGACCAAAGACAGAGATATTTTAAACATCCAGTGTTTTGGGGACACGCATGTCGTGGTAACTATTCAACATATAGAGAAACCCACACCACTATTTTTACTTCACTCTGCTCTAATTCTTAGAAACCAGCCAAACCAGTTAGTGGGGGGTTTTAGCCATCAATGTCGACCTAAAATGATGTTAACATCAGGCAGATAAGTGGGTCTCTAGTGATTATTTAGGGGAATTTGAATGATCTCCCCCATGGAAATCAGTTAAAGTGGAGCTAATGTGACACTGATGATGGAAACTGAGTGGAACCAGCTGACAATTCTGTCTGATATCAGAGTAGATATTAGCATATATTACAAAACAAACAAATGTTTTGTTGTCAACAAATATTTTGAAATGAGAAAAGTGCATTTTGTTTATGTTGAGACAGTTGCAGAGAACTCCTAGATTACTGATTTGACATGAAAAACATGCAACTATAAGTAAAGACGTTGTGGTGTCTTGTGCAGTATTAGTAAAAAGAAAGTATGCCCACGTTCAATTTCAAGATTTTACATATCAAGGCATGAACAAAAAATCACCTATTTCTTGAAATCAGTTAAATAGAACCTCAAATGTACAACAGATGAAATATTAAACCCTGTCAATATTTATTTAACAGAAATAGAAAAGCTGCAGAAGCAGTATATACTGTAGCTAACTATAGCTCATGATTCAATAGCTTGTAGAACTACATCTAGCAGCATTAACTTGAATTAAAATAAAGTAATCATATTTTGTATGACTATATGATTAGGGATGGGAATGTAACGCGTAGTCTATTTAATGTTTTGTGTAATATGTGTAATACATTATAACGACCCCAACACTAATCACAACAAAAAGTTCAGAAATACCTCTAACATGAACAAATAATAGGAATATCTAAGATATACTGCTTAGCGATGTTGGTGACACTCAAAGACGGGCCAGTGAGAGCCCAATGAGAATCCATAACAGAACGAATAAGGAATCAAATCAATAAATGATATCAATAATTGGACTGGAAACGCTGAATTCTTATCACTTCCCATCCCTATATATCAGTCTCTCACATTGTTTTGAGTGCATGACTTTAACATTTACCATGCTAACTGAGATCTGTAGAGTCTGAGATGTAGCTCTTAGGTTTTTTTCAATTTCTCTGAG